TCACGCACACAGGAAGGGACTACTCACAGAAAGAAGCGGCTCTTTGATCCAAGGGGCATCGTCCTCCAGTGACTCCTGCAGCAAACGTGGATGTCGAGTCCGAGTGCTTGGGTGATTTTTGTTTGTTGGTCGTAGCTGCATGGGCTGCTGCAACATCCAGAATCTCGAACAAACCCAGCAGACTGTGCCCTCGGTCTCGCTGTATAGTTGCCGCGCACACACACACACACACACACTGCCCATGTATGCATCATGCATCGGGATGCTCTGCAATGGCATGTGCAGGCAAGACACATATTCACCAAAGGGAGCTTCTGCTTGAGTTGGAAAGTCGGCGGCCTCCTGATGCGCCGTTTTCTTGCACGCTTCATCGATCTCAGGAGCAATCGACCACAAAAAGCCTGAATCTTCACGTGTGGCTTCGAAGATTTGCCAGTCCTGGTCCCTCGGAGGCTTGATGCCTGAAACCACAGCCTTAAAGTCAGACTTCACTGCATCACACTACGTGTCCTCGCTAACAGCCCTCGGCTCAAGCAATGAAAAGTTGGCCGACAGCCAATCAGGTGTGCCGCATGGCCACAGGTTGCTGCCCCGTCAACTCGTGATGCGAAAACTAAGGGAAGAAGGGAACTTTCATGAGTTCGGTCTCCGCGCTCCCTCTGTCCAGTGCCCAATGCCGTTCCCGTGAGCCCCGACTGTACATGCGATCATCCAGTGTTTCAACTCCCGAAGTCTGCACCGGTGACGAGCAGCCCGCCACTGACGCCGGCCCTCTGCAGTCGAGAGCTCCTGCGTGCGTTGGCTGAAGCGTACGGTCAAACGATTGCAAGCACTGCAGGCCGCCTCGGCTGCCCAAGAGATGCGACGGAAGCGATGCTCGTCGCCCGTCTCCGGCACGTCTGGGTGGTAGATCTGGGCTCGAAGTCACAGTCGCGCGCGCGCCAAGTGACACCAAATGCCTCGTGCAACTTTAACCTAAAAGGGGGAGGGGGGGCTTTGGGCGTTGGCGTTGACTTTGGCCTTGGCCAACTGGCGGAAGGCCGGTCGTACGTCGTCGTCCTCTGCGTCGCTTCGAAGGCCGAGCACCTTGAGATCACACACTGGCACCGATGGCACCGGATGCTCAATGCTTTCCTGTGGTACCGGGCATCTGGCCTGAAAAGGGTTGCTGCCATGGCCTCCAAAGGCAAAGGCCGTCGATACACCCAGGATGCAAGGCAGCAATGCAAACCTGGCTCCATGCCCACTGGAATCGGGGTCAGGGCTCGCTACACGAGGTCAGTGTACTCACTTCTGGTACGTCTGCAGGGCGACTTGAAAGTTTTCACTGTCTGACCCTGCAAAGAAATCCGCGCCAAACGCCGTTGCAGAGTGTCGCGGTCTCTGTCAGCGAAATGGCAAATTTGCAAACAGCGTTGCCACTGAGCGCAACATGCGTCACGGCTTGAGCCAGCGTCTATGCATCTACACCCACGCTCACTCTAGGTAAAGCCTAGAAGAATGTCAGGATGCTTGTTGCCATAGTGTTGCCCAGTATGTTGGTGGTGGCATCGATATTTGCTGCCCGAGTCGACGTGCGCTATCAATTAAAGGAACCTGATGATATACCAAAACTGAGCCCGCCTGAATTTGCGGCGACGCAATCCCCAACATAGCTGCTCGCGCATGGCTCATTCTACATATAGAGCAACAGGTGTTGTGGTGTGGATCTAATCTTGATTGGCTTCACAGGGGTGGTGGAACGGTAGCTTGGCGTGTGGTTAGGGCGTGCCGGCTGAGAAGGCGTGTTCAGAAACCGGCAAACGTGTCAAAAGTGCTGTCGCATGCTACACCACTTGCGCTTCAGTCAGTGCTTGCCCAATGGTTTCGGATGTCACTAGAGCCTCTGACTGCTGAGAACGTGTATTGGGTCGCCCTTGAGGGAAGGCATCACCAGGACTCGGCTGAGCGACCCTGAGTCTGCGACACCACCTTCTGATGCGCCGCCGATCAGCTTCGGAGTGTGAATTTCCTTCACCAGTCAGACTCTTCGCTAATTGTGGGAGTCACGAATGGCGCATCATGCAGCTATCGGCACACACTCTCTGCTGGACGTTATAGACTAAGTCTATTAAACCCTTTCTTGGTCTCTCCGCGGCCAAGTGGCTCTTGAACTCCTTTCATGGCATGGTGCTATCTCGATGCAGGGCTTTCCTGGAAGTCATTCATGAGCAGGAACTCCCGGAAAAGCATGCAAACACCAGACCTGGACCCGCAAAAATTAACGACGATGACTCCCAGGACTCCTGCAGACTGCCGCGACGTGCACTGGGACTGGGGGCCATGCTGCATTCTGAAGACGGCTTGGTTAGCCACCTTACCACTTCACCGGCGTTTATGGTGTCTGGCTCCTTCTTTGCAGCGATGAAGGTTTTCTCTTCTCATGAAGAACGCACAAACACATTACTTCTGACAGCGAAAACGTGCCCTGTCTTCTTGTGCTGTATGTGCTGCAATTTCATGCTTGCTGAATTAACGCGACCTGCCCTGTATCAAACATGCCAGCCGCTAGATGGCCAATATCGTCCCGTGTCATCTTCGACAGTTTCTGAGAGCTTGCCGTTCTGAGGTCGATGATCCGGTTATCAAGCCGCACGTCCTTCGAGCGAAGCTGTCTCTCGTGCAAGAAACAATCACTTTGGTCAAACATACCTCTTTTCTGGGATCCCCTAGGCAGGCCCTAGCCCTAGCCCTCCTTCCATAGCACAAGATGTCGTTTAAATGGCTTAACATAGAACATGCTAGATTGTGAGCCTCTCGCAGACCAAGACCCAGCCGTTTGGGGCTCCCGTCACATCTAGAAGAAGCAGGCACAAGCTGCGCTGCATCGAAGATTTGCCAACATTTGAAAAGAGCTGCCCGAACCTATGGGGCAGCATTTACAGTCACAGGATGACCAATCCCGGTGAAGTCTGCGTCCTGTCCCACCGACGGGAGCCTCAGAGAGCAAGCAAACAATGAGTTCAGGCTAACTGTAAGGCCATGGACCTCTGGCACAAGCACCCCTACCTAGGCAAGAGCCCAAAGCACCAAATAAGAAAGCCATCCTTCACTCTGCGACATCAAGAAACATTCGAAAAACCTTGAGATGCAGGCGAGGGGTCCTTTTCCAGCTCTGCCTCGAAACATGTTGAGTTTGTGTCGTCCAGTGACAACACGAGTTTGCAAGAAAAAACAACAACGAGCTGAATGCCCGGCACAATACAAAACCGAATTACACTTTGGATACATGTGGTGAGGATGATTGTGACTATGTACAACTTTGAGAGCGGATGTCACTGGCGAAGCCTGTGGGCCAAACCCTGCGAACCCGGGATTTGCCCAGCCCACCACCGATGTTGCCACAAACCACCACGGACCACCACTGACACCCATGGGCCACCAGCAGCACCACCAAGGACCACCACCACGCCATCACCCCCTTTCACCCAGCGGCAATGAGCTGATGGAGACTCGAGTCGGGATGGATCCGGTTTGCGCCTGGGGTGCGTGGTTGGCCACCCGGTTCGCCTGCCCTAAGACCTTAAGGTTTTTCCGGGTTTTCTTTGTGGTTTGATCCCTAGGCCTTCGGGCCGGAGGTGATGCCACTGCTAACTAACAGGCCAGGCTTTCGGGTCTCGGTCGTCCCTCCACTCCACTCCACTTTCACCACCACCCACCGGAACCAGCACCAGCACCAGCAACACCACCCCACCACTGCCAGCAGCTCACGAGCAGCAGCAGAGGCAACAGCAACAGCAGGAGCAAGAGCAAGCAGAACCACCAATCACAAGATATCACGAGTACAGTCACTGCCACAACGACGACGACAACAACGACCGCACCGACAACGACAACAACGACCGCGACGACAATGACCTGGGCACCGGCACCGGCACGATGGCGGCAAGAGAACAACGACCCGCCCGGAAAAGCGCACCTCGCTCCTCGAGGCATCTGCCAGCTGCAAGGGCAAGGCCTGACATGCGAAATGCAGAACTTCCGTGCTTGGCTTCTTGTCAGAAGGCAGGAAGGGCCCCAGGATGCCCCAGGCCTGAGACCTCCCGATGCAGAAGACGCGCTCCACGGCCAGCTCCTGCAGCCAGGCGCCGAGGCTCCGAGGCTTCGAGGAGAAATCCCAAAGCAAAGGTGAAGGCAGAGTGCTGTTTTTTCTTGAGAGCTATACCATATATTTTTTGTACCTTAAGACATGAATGTGTGCTTTTGTCAGCTCATGCTGAGGTCAGTGCCACGTTCTGCACTGTGCAGGACGTAATCGGTGCGTCAGGGCAGGCTACCTTCCGGGCTCATGTCTCGGCAACTCTCCGCACACGTGCATGAGTCAAGATGGGGCTTGAGAGCCTGCAAGTGGCTAAGCTTCACAGACGTTGTGGGCGGGGGCTCGTTTTGGGGTCTCCATCACCCATCAGGGTTCCTCCAAGCTTTGGCTATGCATGTAGCTTTCCTGGATATCGTGCAATCTCTGCATGGTAGGGGACGTGTCATGACTACCTTGCAGCTGGCAGCGACGAAAACGGTCGCAAGCAGCTTCTGCAATCCTTGAATGCACGTTCCACGCTCCTTCTTTCTCC